AGAAATTCATAGGCAAGGTGAGGGAGATATTGAGAGAGAAAGGTCACAGAAGCAGACTGAAAAGACAGGTTTTCTTTAAAGAGTAAAAACTCCAGGTTTGCTTCAAAGAAAGTAATGGAGTGGCAATCGTCCAGAAAAGGAGATATTTTGCCATGTATTTTCTGTAAACATTCTTTCAAGATTGAAACCACGCAGTATCCTCACATAAGTTTTCAAAGGAGAAATCAGTTCCAGGTTCAAGGCAAATTGTACTTATGACTCTGTCAATTAGAAAACAATTACCTGACTCTTAGCTAAAGTTTTAACTCTTTCCTGGCCAAAAAGGCTTATCAGAATCATGCTTACAAGGAGATTCTGTGTCTGGTAATAAAATTCAAGGCAGAAAAACAATCTTAAAATTAAAAAAAATACAGAAATGGAAAATAATAAAAGATTAAGAAGGGATACAGAACAAATATTCAGAAGCTCATTTGTTTAAGCTGCGAAATTACTGTTTTTTGCTTTACGGCTGAATACGGTCTTACTTTATATTAGCAGCGCTTTGGTTCCTATATCTTGCCATAGTCTCCATTGTACCCATCTTGTCACTATATAATTGCATGATAATTTTTTTTTAAAAAAATCTAAAGATATTATTATATAAGTTCTGCTCAGGTCCTCCAGAACTGACAGTTGTGGATTCCTTTGTTGAACATACCCACCTCATATTAGATCTTCCTCTTTTCCTCCTCCTTGCTCCCACTTTCCCCAGCAATATTGTATTTTCCAATAATTTCTGTATTCTCTCTATATGCAAGGTAGGATAGGCTCAATTTACTTACTTTTGCTCTAGCCAGAATTCAGACTTGACTTAATTGAACACCCTCTTATTTGCCTTTATGGCTGGCTGTGGTATCTGTAAGGTATCTTACCAACTGCTCATTTCAAATGATTTGATTTTTAATTCCTGCCTTTTGTCATGGTCAGTCTTTTTATTTGATTTCAAGTGAAAATCTATGCTAACTTTCTGTCCCCTGCCACATTTATTATTTCAAAAGATGATGGGACATGTTTTGGAAATTATGGAGGCAACATATTTGTAGAGCAAGGGTTTTGAAATCAGAAAGTCTGCATTCTGCAGAGCAGGTATGGCAATGTTAGTTTGCCTGAGAGGCTAAAGTGTGTGTATGTCTCACTGTTGTATAGGTTACACTCACTCACAGTTTTTTTTTTCACCATTTCATTGAATCGCAAACAGTCCTTCAAAATATTTTGGCACAGAAGGACAGCAGCAGCATCCTTGGTGTTCTTGGTTCTTTCTGCCCTTCCTCAGCAACCATATTAAGGATCATACGCTCATCTTCCAGGATCCTCTAGCACTGGGTGAAGGACATTGCTGGTGGAATTTGTGTGTAGTTTATGTATGCTTAAACCTTCCTTTTAAAAAGCTTGCTTGGTGTCACTTTGTGAATGGTAGCATAAAAGGGTATCACGTAGACCACCTTGACTGCTGCCATTGGTATTATCATTCAGGCTTCCCTTTGCTATGTAATGTGGCATCCTCTTTCCTGCTGGCAACACAGACATGATATTGTGGAGAATATTGGGCCATTTTGAATCATGGCTACAGAATCACAATATCCCACATTCATAAAATGGAAGGGTTTTTTTTTTTTTGAAGAATAGTTTCAGCATTTAGATAAATCTGCTGAGGAATTTGTGTGTAGTTTATGTATGCTTAAACCTTCCTTTTAAAAAGCTATCAACATCGCTTCTTCATTTGACCTTTGTTTTATGCATGTGGGATATTGTGCTTCTGTATCCATGATTCAAAACACTACAAAATGGTCCAATATTGCTGCACAATATTGTACCCATGTTGCCAGCAGGAAAAAGGATGTCAATCTTTGCATAGCAAAGGGCAGCTTGAATGTTGACGCTACCCATATCAGCAATCAAGATGGTCTACAAGATACCCTCTTCTGCTTACTACCATTCACAAAGAGACACCAAGCAAGAGACACCAAACTGGACTTCTTCTTTTTTACCAGTTAACCACTTCTCATCAAAATACAAAGCAATTGTTGGAGCTGTTAATCAACCAGTTCTCTGGGTATCAATGGCTTGGAGCCACAAAGTAATCAAAATGCCTAGAAGAAATGGTAATGAGCACTAGAGGGTATCCTGTAAGTCATCTTGACTGCTGTCATGGGTGTCACCAACATCTAGGCTGCTCTTTGATATTTAAGGTTTGACATCCTTTTTCCTGCTGTTAATGTGGGCATAATATTGTGTGGCAATATTTGGCCATTCCCTGGCATTTTGCATCATGGATGCAAAAGCATCATATCCCACATTCATAAAATGGAGTTTGTGTGTGTTTTTTAACTGATCTAGAACAGACTAAGCTGGGTATGTCACTGAAAACCAATTCAGGACCTGAACAGTTTCCTTGGATTTAGATGGAAAGCAGAGGTAGAGCTGTACATCATCAGCATACTGCGATGCCACTAGACCTCGACGTTTGCCAGTAGTTGCATGCAGTTGCTTTAGGATACAAAGAACCTGGGAAACTATGTGGAAACCTGAGGAACACCATAGGACCAATAGTTGCAGTGTCTCACAATAGGTTCTCAAGTGCTGCTTTCTAAATGGATTTCTTGAGAAAAGTGCAGAGCCACCATAAATCAGTGCTTCCAGTTCCTGACTGAAGGTATGAAAACCAACTAAGGGGACCAACAAAACTAATAGGAACTCCCTCTCTCCAGGAAGATTTCTGCAACAAGATGATCAAAGCAGTGTCTGGTCCATAACCAGTTCTGAAACCTAGATAATCTACATAATGGATCTAGATAATCTACCACAGGCAGCAATTTCAGACCATTTCTTAGCGTTTTGAATCATGGATACAAAAGCACAAATGCCAGGAAATGACCTAATATTCTCCTGGGTCTTAACCTTGCATGGAATGGTCCAGTGCATGTGCAGTTCTTCTGCTTCTGTTTGCACAAGGGGGAATTCATTAAATCCTTAGAGAAGCAGAAAGCCACAATACAGCCTACTGCAGTGGGTTTTAGGGTGCATTTAGAAAAACTGATCTCACTACTGCCTCTTTTAGACACAGGAGCCCCCCTCTCCATTGTTGAAAGCAGATGTTCACTGCAATGCCTACCCAGCTAGCTCCTTTTATAAATCAGAAAAGGCAAGAGTGAAGCAAAAATGGTATGAGGCTTTGGCTACATTATCAAATGCTGTGGGATTTGCTGCAGTTCTATTACAGGTCTATTCAAAGTTTGTTTTGCTTTGTTTTTGGTTTTTTGCTGATATATGATGCAAAGCCTGATTTGATTTGGTCTAGCCCTTTTTGCTCCCAAAATGGCTTTTTTTTTTCTCTTTCTGTTGCTGGGGGATACATTTTTTTCCAAGCTGAAATGATTTGAACAGACCTTTTCCTGTATGATCGGTTGATTCTTGTAAAGACTGGGAAGGCATGTCTATGGATGGTGTTTTAATGATGTAGGCAGTTGGGGCATGATATTCAGGACCTATCCCTACATTCTTTCCTATGATCATCTTCTGGGTTGTTGTTGTTGTTGTTTTATTTCTTACATATATGGAATTAGCACCATCACTTTATCACTAGTATTGATAAAGTGTACTAGCACTTAACTTGTACTGATATACTAGTTAAGTGCTAGATCACTTCTGGATGAGAAACATTTTTTTTAAAATATGAACAAAACAGACGAAACCCAGATGGGACAAAAGATGTGCCTGTAGTATGTGGTATTTCTGGAGACATTAAGAAGAACCATGGTATTCTGCCACCTTTTCTGGAACACTCTTGAGTTGCCGACAGTGAAAAGATGTTCCTGTAGTATGTGGTATTTCTCGAGACATGAAGAAGAACCATGGGATTCTGCCACCTTTTCTGGAACATTCTTGAGTGGCCGAGAGTGAACCATAAAAGAATTGTCAGAGGTGGGACCAGAGGGAGGAAGGAAAGAAGACAGGGCTGTGGGCGAAATGCAAAGCACATCACATCAAGTATGAGCACTGAACCTCTGAAATCAATCTGCAGTCCCTGTGCAATCACTTGACTGTGAATTCAGCCGTAATACAGGCTGCGAATCAAACGTCAGTGAAGTGTAGCTGCAGCCTCAGTCTCACCTGTCCAAGGATCCTATCCAACTCCAGTGCACAAACTGAAAGGTATGCAATGCAGGTAGATGGTTCAGGGTTTTTTGTTTGTTTGTTTGTTTGTTTTACTTGCAAAGTGTCAGGTGAAATATATCAAAATATCAGTCCCACAATGGATTATCAAATGGGTTCTACTTTCTTCTTGGGGACCAAAACATGATGGACCTTTGACCTCTATCAGATGCCTTCATGGCACTGGCAGTACCGGCACAGAAGAGAGATTTATTGGTGAAATCAACACAACAGAGCAGGCCTTCAGACTGGGCTCCCTCAGATTTTTCTGTCAGTACTGTTCTACTGGCTGTTTCATACAATTCACCCCCTGCGGCTCCCTAGAAAACGAGGGAGCTACATTGGCTCAACTTTCTGGGAAGGGATGATCAGACGTGGTACTGGTCTGCCAGACAAGCTGTTTTACCTGTTGTACAGTTTCAAGAGAATTGTCAGACAAGGTGACAGAGAGGGAAAAAAAGACCCAGAAGCCATCCCATCCAGATCTCCTAGCCTCTTAAAGCAGTCCATTTTTTATCAGTTCCATGCCCCTGAAACAGTTCTGTGTCCCAATATAACTTTGTTGTTTAGTCATTAAGCCGTGTCTGACTTTTCGTGACCCCCATTGACCAGAGCACGCCAGGCCCTCCTGTCTTCCACGGCCTCCCAGAGTTGGGTCAAAGTCATGTTGGTTGCTTCGATGACACTGTCCAACCATCTCATCCTCTGTCGGCCCCTTCTCCTCTTGCCTTCACACTTTCCCAACAGCAGGGTCGTTTCCAGAGACTCTTCTCTTCTCATGAGATGGGCAAAGTATTGGAGCCTCAGCTTCAGGATCTGTCCTTCCAAGTGAGCACTCAGGGTTGATATCCCAATGCAACTAAACCCTACCAAAAGGGGATGGATTAATGACAATAAAACTGTAGAAACATCCGTTGTGCACAGAAAACCACACCCCTGAGTGTGTCCTGCCTTATGAGTAGGGACCGAGTGGGACAGATCCATAGTTGCTGGATCCTGAGCCAATCCTCAGTGGGGTAGCCTCAACATGGATACAGGAGATTCCCCCACACAATAAACTGAGAGAAATCCAGCACTGTTCTGAGAGCTGGTTCAGGAAGTAAGACTTTTGGGTAGGGGCCAGAATCCAAATTCTGTCCCGGTCCCCATCTTCATCTACACACATCCCAAACTGAAAGATTGTGGAGTGGGGCACCTGGTTAGAGAACCTGCCACCTAAGATCTTTGCCTCCCCACCCTCCAGGTCTTTCTCCCTGCGGCTTCTGCTACTGCATAGACAGCCAAGGGGGGTAATTTACAGCAGGGAAGGATTTTAAACCCTGACGAACACCATCATGTGCCTACCACTACCCTAGTCTCACCCAACCAGGTGATACAAGAAAGGACAGCATGTTCATCCAAGATCAATTCCCAGACAGCTGCTATTTTCCCAACCTCTAACCAAGCCTTCAGCAGCAACATATCATAATCTGCTCATCACTTTTCACGTTTTTTCGTGGCCATCACCCTCTGCATTTGAAACTGCAGCCAATTTGAACCCTGGAGGAGAGAAAAATGCGAAAACAAACAGTAACAGCACAGCATCCTGTTCACCCAAAACACATTTCCCTTTATGTTATGGCTTCAGCTGTCAATCGCAACCAGCTGACATTGTCATGTTTCTATGAGACTGGACTCTGTCCGCGTGTGGGATCCAACCTCCTTCGTTACCAAGAGTCTTTTCTTCCTGGGCGGCTTAATTCCAAAGAGCTTGTAAGCTGCTTTCCGGTATTTCTTCGACATGATATTGTATAGGATCGGATTGATGGCAGCGCTTAGGTAGAAGAGGACAAACGAGACCAAGTTGCAGTACTGGCTGATGACAGCTATTTCCAAGGATCCTTCTTCAAAGGATTTGGAAAATAGGTACCGTCCTATGTGGAAGGGCAGCCAGCAGAGGATGAAAGCAAAGACCACCACAGCTAGAAAGAAAGAGAAAGAGACCAGAGGTGTACATTATAGAGATTATGAAATTTGCTAATTTTTCTTTACTTTTTGCTTTTACTTTATTTAGACTTATCAAAAAGTCTACTCAGGGCGGCTTACAAAAAAACGATAAAATACAATAGAATAATATACTTACTAAAATCTAATAATACAACCAACTAACTAGTGGATAGATACATTCTCAAGATGGGAAATTAAAGAAACGAAACATAAAATCCTTCTATGTAGGATTTTAAGAACTGCTATAAGATGGCATCCAAGGCAATGGTGGCTGACCGGGGACTCTTAGTTATCTATCTTCGGAAGCAGTGAAGAGCTGGTATTGTAATAGGGAGAAACAGAAGATCAGGGATGTTATGGTCCATTTAGAAATGCAGATATTTGATCATGACTGTCTCCATGGCCACTCCTCCAAAAGGACAGCTCAGGCATGCAAAACAGCTGGATTGATGCATATCCAGTGTTGTGGAACAGATCTCTTACCAAGTTAATGGCTCCTAGTGGCCCATGCAAGGCCACATCACCCTCAAATACTTTGGAGTAACACACTGTACAGTTTCTTGGTAAACCCATTTCTTTCCCTGCTACTTGCCAGGATTGCAGCTAAACTCGGAGGGATCAGGGAAGCCTAAAGGTGGTGGCAGATGATGCCATACTCCCTGCTGCTCATAAAGTCCCTTAGCTTTGACGCTGTGAGCCCAGTTTCATTACATCACTGCAGGAGACAGGAATGGAAATGTACAATCCTTGTCTGTTGGCTGCTTTCCCCATGTAACCATCTTCTCCCAGCTATCTCTCCATGGCAAACATACATCTGGGAAACCACAGCCAGCAACAAGAAGAACCCCCAGAAAATACAATATGGGAAAAAAAAGTTAGAGGGGGAGGTGGCCCTAACTACTCCCCCAGCTTCCCCTCTGGTTCTTACATTGCACTAACTTTTAGTCTATGCTGGTGGTGATGATGGTTTTATCCCACTGGCATTTTAAAAACAGTGTGAACAGCTTAGATTTGGTAGAAAGATAGCTGCTGAAAGTTTTAAAAGAAATATATATTCTGTACCAATATCAGGAAAAGACTTTTTGGGGCAAGGAAAAACTTCTCTTAGAGCAGGGTGTCTGGGTGTGAGTATGTCTACTTCTCTCTGTATATACAAA